CAGCAATCTCTTTGCTGGTGTAGAGGAATCCAACTGATTTTTGGATTATTACTGTGTTTTTACATTAGAATCAGAAATACCAAAATAAGATTCCTCCATGATAAACTTTTTTATCTTCTCTGTGACATAATAAACTGTAGGTTTCCCCAGAAAAAAAAAAAAAATGGTGTTAGATTCTGTTCTTATTTGGAACATACCAGAAGTGATTTTCTTAGAATATGCATGGTTTTCGTCTAGTAATATTATGTCTATGTTTAATGATCCTTTATTTGAAATATGTAATATGAGATTGAAGTAAAAAAAAAAAAAACTATTTTGTAATTACTCAGTGCTGGTTATATGCCATCCAGGCACTCTATTTGATTTACCTTTGCTGTCTTGTTTAATCCTTGCAGCAACCCTATAGGGTATAAATTGTGCCTTTTACAGGTGAAGAACTGAGGCACCAAGGTGAAGTAAGTTGCCCAATTTGAAAGCAATCTTCTGAGCCCCACTCTACCCTTAACCACTCTATGGCTTCTCCACTGCTTTAAGATTTACCAGAATGTTCACTTATATCTTTCCATCCTTCAGATTTTACTGTGAGATAATGGGGCAGGTATTTTTGTCCCCATTCTGTAGTTTAGGAAGTGAAAGTTAATTGATTTCTATAAAACCGCTATCCTGGTGTCCTGTTCTACTATGATACTATTGTAATGGCCCTTGCTGTAACCAAATAAATGCTTTTGACAACGTAAATGTGTTTCTATGCATATTGTACATGACAGTTTCCTTTCATTCAAAATGTTTGGAGAGGCTCTCCAGAGTCATGAAAAATTCTGATTAGCTGGGATTTGGCAACCATAGATTTAAAAATTCAGCAAGAACAGTATCAAATATACTTCACAATATAGGTAACTTAAATGTCTTTAAATCTTTGGTGATTCATGAGGCTTGATTTTGAATTACCACTGATTTTAATTACGCATGGTTTGGTAAATGTGGATTGTTCAAGGGGTCAAGTTTTGACATTAATAGGAAAAACTGTCTTTTAACTTTCATGAAAACAGAATACAGAATGCCTCTATTATAATTTTTATTTTTCCCTCAAGTATAATCTGTTACTAAAGCCTTTGGTTTCTATGAAGTGTTACCCTTTCCTTCTCACTCTTGCTATTGCTGTCTGTGATTACAGCAGCCTCCTACTCGCTTTCCCATTTACCCTCCCTGGAAGCCGTTCTTCTTACTTCTCTCCTTGTCCTTCATTACCTTTGACTGCTTCTCCACACTGGAAATAAAGTGCTCTTTCCCAAGTTTTCCACTGTTTACAAGATTAAATGTATACTCCTTGACAAGGCAGATGAGGTCCACTGTGACCTTATCACCATGAATTTATGGATCTTATCTCCAACCCCATTTTCCTCTGTCCACCTCCAATATACATCTCTGCTTCAGTCTGACTGGACTTCTATATACCACTTGCTCCCACTCAACTGATGTGCCATGTGTAGCTATTTCCTGTTCCACAAATAACCCATGCTTTCTTACCAATAATGCAAAAAAAACAAAAAACCCTCTACTTCTTCACCACTGAACTCATATGCATTCTCTCCTAGTCAAGCATTCCCTGATCTATGTTTGAAGCCTTTGTTGCTTGGCCCTGGGATCTTCAGTTGTCCCCGTCTTCATAGACCTCACCTTTTTATCACATTTTATTGTAATCATCTTCCTGAATGACTTTCCTCAGAATTGTGTTGGCCACCTTCCCATATGCAGTGCTGGACACAGGGGAGGTAGCAATAGATGTTGGATGAGCCAAGCTTCTCTAGAGCCTAGAATGGCACTTCACTTAAATTTCTTTGCCTAACTTTCATACTGTGAACTGGCTCCATATAATCTGGCTCCATAATTTCATCTCCAACCTCCTTTTCCTCTGTCCACCTCCAGTACACACCTCTGCTTCAAGTTGTCCTGCTACTCTTCCAATCACGGGCCTTAATTCCTGCTGTGTTCACAGTTTGCAATCACCTTGCTTCCAAGTCCGGAACATCCTCTAGGCCTAGCTCAAATGTCAGTTTTTCTGGATTGTTTTAGCCTTATTAATATATGCAGGACTTCATTAGATGTTTAATTAAGGCTGTGTCAAAACCTGGAGATGCAAAGATCATAGTCTCATCTCAAAAGTCTCACAGTCTATGTGAGGAAATAGACAAATTATTTTTTTAACTTTTTATTGTGATTTGGGTAAAATTTTAAAAAGCAGATTTGTTTTACATTCAGTAATTCATACACCTTTTATTTTGTGACACTGGTTACATATCCTATGGTGTAACAGCTCTCCTCCCACTTCCTCCCTGTAGTTACCCTTTCCCTGTGCCCTTCTTACCATGCATTCCTGCTTCCCTACCTTTCTCCTTGTGCAAATGCTGACCTTCTTATCACCCATGGTAGATTGTTCTAAGGAGTGAACCTCCATATTTTTTTCCACTCTATCCAGGATCTCCAATTTTGATGCCTTTCTGAGTAGTTGGAATTGGTAGCCAGACACCCTATGGTTCTTCCAGTCTCAGGGTCATATAGGCTTAGGTTCTCATGGTCCATTAGTTCTTTGTACTGTTTCCATGTGTCTTTGATTTTCTTCGCTATTTTTTGCTCTGGATCAGAAGAAACCAATAGTTCAATCTTAGATAGCTGCCCACCATGACATCAATTGCAATCCCTACATGTGTCTACACTCCCCCTATTTCCACCTTGGGGTCCCCATTTCCATTCAATAGACAATACTTTTAAAACACACCAATAAGTGTTATAATACAGATATATGTGCCATGTTCTGGGGGAGCAGAATGATGAAAAGGACTAACTTAGTCTTAGAGAAAACTTGATTTGACTTTCTAGTTCTCTGTCATTTATTGATCTTTTGTGGAAAAAATTCTGAGACTTTTAGAGGTTCTGAATCTTTACCGCCAAGCTCAAAAAAAAAAAAAAAAAAAAACCTCTAAGGAAAAGCCTTTACAACAAATATTTGATCCAATATAAATTGTTTCATTTTCTCTCTCTCAAAGGGAGCATGAATGAAATCCATTGGAAGCTTGGAAAGTAAAGGTTTGTTCAGGCTGAAGAATAGTGGACCTCAAGCCCAGGTGGAATATACAACAGGAACAGAGTAGGCGTGAGGAGATGGAATAAGGAAGGTGAACATAGTCTTACTCCTCTCATATAAATCTTCAAAAATGGCTGTATTATTTAATCTGAAGAAAATTCTCTAGAATATTAACAACAAAAATAACAGCAGCAACAATAACAACAACAAAAGTTGCTGTTGATTCTGACTCATGGCTACCCCATGTATGTCAGAATAGAACTCTGCTCCATAGGGTATTCAGTGGCTGTTCTTTCAGAAGTAGATTTCCAAGTCTTTCTTCTCAGACACTTCTGGGTGGATTTGAAACCCCAACCTTTTGGTTAGTATCCAGGTGGTTAACCATTTGTGCCCCCATGGACTCTTCTAGAATATTAGATACCTCCATATAGCAATAAACAAATAAGAACTAGATGTGATTATAAGAGCATTAGCTGTTTTGAATTACCTATATGTTCTGGTTACCTAGTGCCCTTCTGACAAGAATATACCACAAATGGGATGACTTTAATGAACAGGAGTTTATTCTCTTACAGTTTGGAGTCTTTAAGTCCAAGTTCAAAGCACCAGGCTCTAGGGGCTGGGTGAAAGCCTCTCGACTTTGGGCTTCAGCTCTGCCTCCTGTTCCCAGCCCACTGAAGCTAGATGCTTTTCTTCACTCAGCTGCTGGCTGGTGAGGCTGGCAAACCCAAGGTCGACAAGCAACAAGGCACAGTCCCAATGTTACCAAACCACATGGCAGGCCATTAATCGAAGTCCATTGAAAGTCCCATGATTGGCAGAGCATGGCACGCTGCTGAACGACAACTCAGCTACTTGCAGGGTTCAAGTGTGCCACAAGCTAGTGACCATTCCCAAAGCTACTGCTTATATGCAGGAAGCAGACCACATCCCTAAAGCAGCTACTCAGCTGCTTGTGGTAGATAGATCCCACAATGGAGTTGATGCCATTCTCATCGTGGGGAATAACTACCACCAGCTCTCCAGCCACTCAACCAGGCCCAGCCAAGTTGACATACAACTTGAGCTACCACACTATACTACCCTCAGTTACTGCAGTTAATTAGGAACTGATTTTTAGAGTTGTCCGATAATGAGTACTGCCCAAGAAACACAGCTGTTGATCCAAATGACTGTCACACGGAAATAGTGAGAAGGAATGGGCCTGTCTCCATAATTGATTAAAATAAATGCTCTTCAGTTTTAAACTGCAGGAAATTGACAAGAGGATAGCACTGCTAAAAAGAGAGGAAGTATGGTTTAGTGGTCAGAATGGAGGAAATTAGGAAGACTTTTTCTGTTTCATGTTCACATTAACTTTTTGTTCACCTTTGTTTCATTTCTATAAGTTGAGAAAAAACACAAGTAATGGGTCAGGCCTGCTGATAAGTCCAAGGGTAAACACTTCTAAGGTTCTAAATTGAAATTGTGACTTTCCTAAGGCAAAGCATTTTTTTCACTTTGATCTGATAATTAACTATGGGTCTTTTAAAATGACTCTCCTCTTTTTCTGGTTTCTACAGTCAAACAAATATCCCATTCAAGATACTGGACTCCCTAAAGGTATGTACAGTTAATATAACTATTTAAACATTGTGATTACTTTAATATCTTGAACAACACATTAGTCAAAGTAATTTTTTTTTTATTATTTAAAGTTATAAAACAGAAATGTATCTATAAGTAAGCTCATGACTTGTTATGTGATTATCTAAGAAATAAATTCTTATTAAAATCTATAAATTGGTTTCCAAAAATTATTAATTCATTTCCATGTTGTTAAAATTAACTTATTTTATTGTGGTGAAAGAAATATATTTTAAAAATGCCATTTCATCATTGTTTACATGTACAATTCAGAGACTTAGTTACTTTTCATCATGTTATGCAACCATAACCTCTATCTATTTGCAAATATGCTGATACATGTATAAAATTAAGACACCAGGACTCTGGGTTGCAAATGATGTCAAAAAGTTAAATTAGGTTTTTAAAAGAGGGGAGGAATTTAGTTGCCCAAGGAACTTTGAGCACGGCTACATTTAAAAAAAAAAAAACTCGGACTCCTTGCTGTTGAGCTGATTTCAACTCATAGAGACCCAATTAAAAAAAATCAAAACCAAACCCACTGCCAGTAGATTCTGACTCACAGCGACCTCCATTGGGTTTTCACGGCTGTATATCTTTACAGAAGTAGATTGCCTCATCGTTCTTCCATGGAGCAGCTGGTGGGTTTGAACCACTGATGTTCTGGTTAGCAGCTAGATATCTTACCCATTACGCCACCAGAGAAATCCTATAGTACAGTAGAACTGCCCTACAGGCTTTCCAAAGGTATCATCTTTACAGCAGAGTGGGCAGTGGATTCTAACTACTGACCTTTTGGTTAGTAGCTAGGCACTTAACCACTGTATCACTAGGTCTCTTTTTAAAAGAGGAGAGGGATTTATTTGCCTAGGGAGCTGTGAGTGCTATGAGATGCAAGCATTTAATACTGTTGGGCTGGATCTCTCCCTCTCATGTCTCTGTCTCCCTCTATATTGACTCTGTTCTCAGGAAGGCTTTCCCCACGTGGTAGAAAAGATGGCTGCCAGTGCCTCTAGCTTCTACTTAAGATGGTGGAGGAAGAGGAAATCTTTTCCTTTGTGTCCATAGCATAATTTCAGAGAAAACTGTGATTCATAAAGTTTGGGTCATGTGCCCATTCTTGAGTCAATCATTGTCATCAGGAGGATGGAGGACTGTAGCCAGGTTTGAACCAACCCATGACATTGGGTGGGGTAGGAGTGGAGTCACTTCTATACAAACTACTGGAAAGAGGATCTGTTTCTAGACAAAAGGGTAAAGGATGCTTGTAAGACCCTCCCCAACAAAAGCAAGTTTTTATAACCCATGTCGTTGTTATGTGCCTTCGAGTCAGAGCTGACTCATAACGACCCCTCCTTAGGTTTCCAAGGCAGTATCACTATGGAAGTAGACTGCCAACCTTCCTTCCGAGGAGTAGCTAGTGGATTTGAGTCACCAGCCTTCTGGTTAGCAATCAAGTGCCTTAGGCACTATGCTAACAGAGCTCCATAGACTAATATTTTAGGCATGATACAGAGCATCAAGATAGCTAGGCCTTAACCAGTTGCTGTTGGGTCAACTTCAACTCATAGTAACCTCATGTGTGTCAAAGTAGAACTGTTGTCCATAGGGTTTTCATTGGCTGATTTTTTGGATGTAGATTGCTGGGCCTTTCTTCCAAGGCACCTTAGTTTGGACTTGAACCACCAATCTTTCAGTTAGCAGCAGACCATATTAACCATTTGCACCCTCCAGGGACTCCTAGGGAGCTCTGGTAGCATAGTGCCTAAGGCGCTTGACTGCTAACCAGAAGCCTGGCAATTCAAACCCACCAGCCACTCCTCAGAAGGAAGGTTGGGCAATCTACTTCTGTAGTGATACTACCTCGGAAACTCAAGGAGGGGTCACTATGAGTCGGGTCTGACTCGATGGCACATAACAACAACAACAACAACAACAAGGACTCCTAGCTAGGCCTTAAGTCTAGTCAGTTGATTATAATCTCCATTGCAAAGCAGTCTACAATGCTGTGCTCTAGTATACAAGCTAGGCTATGGGCTTTCAGAGTGGAGCATTTTTCTGGTATTTTGCTGAAAACCCCAAGCTGAGGGGTAGGATGGGAGAGGGGTGGGGAGCAGTCAGATTTGGTCAGCTTCAGAGATGGCAGGGGCAATGAGGACTCCTTCCTTCTCCCCACAAAGCACCTAGGTTTCCTCATTGCCATGAAGGATTGGATTTTCCTGCACAGTCTAAGTTGGGTTTCTCTATAGTTCTTATGGTAGTAGGTAATCATCAGGTCTGCAAAGAGTTCCCCACCAGAGCCAACCTGTGGTTATGTCTGTGGTTCTGCAAAACTTCCCCTCTCTTCCCTTCTGTGTTTCTAGATTCTCCTCCATGCCCCCTGAAATGACACCATTAGAGTTTCATTCCTTTTGTCTCCTATGCATGTCCTCAGAGTAGCAGTTGTATAGGCAAAAAAGTTGTGAAGGCTAGGCTTGAGTCCAAATTCTGGCTGTTCTAAGGAAGGCTTTTGGAAAGCTTTAAGCCTCTCTGGACCTCAGCTTCACCTCACTTCTCCCTTTCCCCTCTCTGTGCATGACCTCAGGTCTCCTGAATCCCCACATCTGTGATTCTTTATTTGAGCAAGAAAGTAGAAGGAACAGGTCAGAGGCAGCCTCAGGCAGTGGTTTGTAGATTTCAGCATACAATGAAGAATCTTCACCTGGGGAACTTTTTCAAAATACAGATTCTGGGCCCCACTGCCCAGAAATCATATATAATAGGTCTGGGGATGACCTGGGAATCTGCATTTTCACATGTATCTGCCTGATTGAGAGATTACCTAAGAAGATTTAGGGATTTTGTGTGCCCACTAGGGAAGCAAATAGAATCGAACCAAAGTGCAGCCAAACTGCCCAGCTCTGAGTGGCCTCAACAAGTGACATAACCTCTCAGTGCCTCAGTTTCCTCATCTGTAGAGTAGGGAGAATGGTGTTGGCATCCCGTTCCCATGGTTGTTGTGGTAATGCAGTGAAAGGAGTCTGGAATGGTGCCTGGCACACCATGGGCACTATACAGGACTTGAGGCAATTCTGGCAGAGAATTGGGAAAAATCATGGCTAAGCACTGTCAAAAGCTTTCATAGCAAGGAATCAAAAGTGAACCTATCTTGGAAAAAGCAGAAGACTAAGCTGGCAGTGACTCTAGGAATGTGTTTGTGTCATGATGCCATTTGGCTCAAGAGTTTTTATTGCCATTGAATGTGATTTCCTGTTTTGAAAGAAAAAGATTGTTGCTTAGTAACCTGATGCTACAGTCACTGTACAATCTGGTTTCTCTTAGAACCAGAGTGTTACAAAACCTTCATGAGTTTGCAAATAACCAATCTAAAACCAAACTCATTGCCGTGGAGTCAGACCGGACTCAGCGACCCCTCCTTCATTTCCGAGGCAGTATCACTACGGAAGTAGATTGCCACATCTTCCTTCTGAGGAGTGGCTAGTGGGTTTGAACCGCCAGCCTTCTGGTTAGCAGTCAAATGCCTGAAAATCATACCCTACACTTTTCCTTTGTCCTTATTCATGGTGAAAAATATTATTAAATTCTTGATCTCTTATCTCCAAATAAATATGCACTTTATATATAACTAAATCTTGTCTATAAAATTTATACAACATTTGCATTCAATGATATAATATTTTATTGTCTGCTAGTATTTTTTAACACAATCAATGAGACCAATATCATCATTATGTTCTTATAGTAATCTTCTCATTAAAATTATTTTTAGAGAAGGAAAACCCATATGGATTAATAAAGAGACTGATTTATAAACTTAAACATAAATACTGCCTAATTCAATTTAAACACAAACCAGGACTCCAATACTTAAGTGAATTGCAGGGAGGGGAATGATCTATTTAATGACAGTACCTAGTTGGAGCAAATGGTTAACACTACTACTAGCTGAAAAGTTCACAGCTTGAACCCACTCAGAGATACTGCTGAAAAGAGGTCTGCCAATCTACTTCTGAAAGGTAGAGAAAGCCTTGAAAGCTCTACAGAGCAGTTCTACTCTGTAACATATGGGGTCATCATGAGTCGAAATCTACTTGATGGCCACTAACAACAAGTTTATTTAATAAGGAGTTATTTGTAATTAGCATTAACAGTTTCCATATGGTTAAAATTCTGAAGTCTTCACGTTGATTTTCTTAAGGCGATTAAACATTTTGCAAAATCTTAATTATACTACTTGTTGTTGTTGTTGTTATGTGCCGTGGAGTCGGCCCCAACTCATAGCGACCCCTCCTTGGGTTTCCGAGGCAGTATCACCACGGAAGTAGGATTGCCTAACCTTCCTTCCGAGGAGTGGCTGGTCCTAGCATATGACTAATTTATTCATAGACACTATAAAGCTATTCAGCAAGCCGCTGCAATCTATAGCAGTTCTAAATAATATGGTTTTACCATAAATCAACTGTGGAAATCTAGTGAAATGTCAGTGATCAGCATCTGTTGTTAAGTGTGGATGATACTCTGTTTTCTCATAGGGAAAAAGCTAGTAGACAGATGCAAAATTTCTGCCTCAGTCATCCAACACCTGATTTTAGATATTTCAAGGAGTATGTTCTATCAGTTCCCTTTTTGGATAGGTGTTCTGTGAGAATCTGCAGGCACTTAACACAGGACTGGCGTAAGAGTGAATTTTATTTTTTATCACATAAATTCTGATAACTCCTAGAAACTTCTGTCTTGAGTGTTCTAAAGGGAATGTGGCTGATAGCATTTTAAGAGAAACTGTCTTTGGAAAAATAATACTGATTTGTGGGCCCTTCACTGTGCGAAAAATTTGCACATAGATAAGTACTCATATCGTAAATCAGTGAAGATTTTATCATCTCCATTTTCTCTGGTATTCCTGCTCTTCTTTTAATGTGCTTAAAATAATTATAGTGCATTAATGTTAAACTAAACAGAAGTAAAGTGGACTGATT